GGAAATTATGTGGCATCGAGAATCATTTTTAAAACATAACATTGGGTATTGTCAGCATTTTACAGACTTCCTGAGGAATTTGGAAGGTCATTCCATGTGAAATTGCCTGTAACAAGTGTTTCGTTTCAGAACGCATTGCATTATCAGCCAAGGCCTTGTTTTAGCACTTTGATAGCCATGACATATTCCATACATCACTGGCCACCTAGGAAAGGGTACAGCTATGATTTATGGTATATGTCAAACGGTTGAGAATTATCCTCTCTCTTCCATACAGTAGAGTAGATTATCTATTCCATCCTAATTATCTCTAGCAGAGAAGTGCTTGTTTGTTGAAGAAGTAGAAGCAGAAGATGTGTGTCTAATAAAATCGTTTATGCATGGACTTTTTAAATACCGTTTTTCTCTCCAGTCTTTTTTCCACTCAGCATCACACTATATTTATTTTTGTACCTCTTAACTCTGATTTAGTACCAGAGCATTTATGTGTATCCATCCCTGACTCAATATCAGAGCGTCCCTGTGTATCCATCCCTGACTCAGTACCAAAGCGTTCCTGTGCATCCTTCCCTGATTCAGTACCAGAGCGTCCATGTGTATCCATCCCTGACTCAATATCAGAGCGTCCCTGTGTATCCATCCCTGACTCAGTACCAAAGCGTTCCTGTGTATCCTTCCCTGACTCACTACTAGAGCATCCCTGTGGAGCCATCCTTGACTCGGCACCAGAGCATCCTTGTCTTGGCACCAGAGCATCCCTGTGTATCCATCCCTGACTCGGCACTAGAGTATCCCTGTGTATCCATCCCTGACTCAGTACCAGAGCATCTCTGTGAGTCCATCCCAGACTGGGCACCAGAGCATCCCTGTGTATCCATCCCAGACTGGGCACCAGAGCATCCCTGTGTATCCATCCCAGACTGGGCACCAGAGCATCCCTGTGTATCCATCCCAGACTGGGCACCAGAGCATCCCTGTGTATCCATCCCTGACTCAGTGCCAGAGTGTCTCTGTGCACCAATCCCTGACTGAGTCTCAAAGCGTCCCTGTACATCCACCCCTGATTTAGTACCAGAGCGTCCCTGTCCATCCATCCCTTAGTACCAGAGCTCCCCTGTCCATCCATCCCTGACTTAGTACCAGAGTGTCCCTGTTCATCTATCTGTGCCTGACTTAGTACCAGAGCGACCCTTTGCATCCATCCCTGACTCAATACCAGAACCTACCTGTGCATTTATCCCAAACTGAGTACCAGAGCATCCCTGCACATCCATCCCTGGCTCAATACCAGAGCATCCCTGCACATCCATCCCTGTCACAGTACCTGTTAATCCATTCCTGACTGTGACACATTGTAGGTTCCAATATAACTGCTCACTTTCTAGATTTAGCAGTGTAGTGTCTATATTGCTGGAGATGCAACAGCAGATATATGATTGTATTACTTGTGTAATAATGTCTTATGAGCTGTAGTGCAATGTTAGTCTCTATGCTTATGCATGTTTATCTATGATATATACAGGAAGTTCTCTCTGTATGCTGTATAATGCTGCATTCTGATGTAATGTCCTTAAAAGCAAGTCAAACTTAATTTAGCATTCCCCAAGATCTCATTGTATCATCTAAACACATAACCAGCATATAAAAATGCCAGAAATAAACCAACCTTTATTCACCAGTGTAATGTCCATGGAATATATCCTTCCTGTTCCTTCCCAACTCAGCCGTCACCCTATCACGTACCACTGTATAACTATTCCCAGTTGTACTGGGGATACTTTTTTATATCTGATTTATTATTGCAAAGACTCTGAAAATAATACTCCCTTCCATTTTAACATGGGCAGCATAGTGGCTCAGTGGTTAGCACTTCTGCCCTGTAGCAATGAGAATGCAGTGTGGTAGTTTGGGGAATATAGCCCAATGGTACGCACTAAGAGACCACTCCTGAAGCCGACTTTAACATAAAAAGGACAGTCTTTATTCAGTTTTTCAGACCTTATTATTCAAAAGGTCAACAATCTATGAACTTCACAAAACAACTCTCCTTTCTTCAGGATAAATTAGGCATAACAGTTCATGGGACTCTCATCAAGACATCGTGTTTTTGTCTCACCGACATGTGGCTGTCCCATACACTCCCAGTGTGATAGTCCCAGGACTTTACCGTATTTCTCTGTAAATACAGTCCTTAGCACTGCTCAGCAGCTTTCCTCAGCTCCAAGCGGTTCAGTATGCACCGCTCGTGGGTCACTGTCTCTCTCCGTTTCTCTAGCAGGTATCCTCAGGGTCCCCGCCCTCTTGACCTCTCCAGCCTTCCTGGCTTTGTCACTTGTGCTCGTGCACGCAGCAGAGTCTGCCCGTGGTCGTGTGTCTCCTGCACACCCACAACTCTCCTCTGAGCACTGGGCTGGCTTCCTAATGAGGCAGCTCTCAGCCACCTGATCATCCCAAGCTGGCCATCGGCAACACCTGACCCCAGGACTGGAGATCCCATCCCACTATAGTCCGGAAAACCTGGAAGGAACTGAACAGCCAGTTCCTCCTCCGCAAAGGTATTCACATTGTGGAACCTCTTAGCCCCTCTGAGTGTTCTTGGGGATAATGTTGCCAAATTACACCGTGGCATTGCCACAACCTTCTACAGCACGTTCAGCCAGAACACTGCATGGAGTTTTACATGTTCTCCCTGTGCTTGCATAGATTTCCTCCAGGACTCCAGTTTCCTCCCACATTCCAAAGACATCCTGGAAGATAATTGGCTTGTGTATATGTGCATATAAGATATGGACTTTAGAATGTAAGCTCCTTGAGGGCAGGGACTGATGTGAATGGATTGTATGTCCTGCATAGATTGACAGTGCTATATAATTAACTGTATTAATATTAATAATGGCCCTTGCAAATATCACTATCCCCCCATTAGCAGCAGGATGTCCTTGGAAATACCACACTTTCATCCTGCTCAGCAGTCTGCGTACATGAAATATCTCACTCCCCGGTCTAGCTGAACTCTACCAGGGCAGGTCAGTGATATAATCCTCCCCAGACTTAACAAAAGAGCAGCAATAAGGCATCATAGAGCAATAAGGGTTTCTTTTTAAATTGAATTATCCTATAGCAACTAAAAATCACTCCTTAGCTGACTAAACTAAACCTAAATCTGATTGGTTCCTATGGATAACCTTGATGTGCGCCTCCATTTTGCAATTTGCACTCTTTATTGAACAAGTTTTAAAATACATTAAAGCCCAACTTCACGTTTTAACTTTTTTTTTATTCTGTTTTTTAATCAAGGGCCGTAAGGCATGGAAGTAAAAAAGTTTTAATCCGTAGCAGTCCTCTTAAGAACCACCTCTGCTGGACACTGACGGATTGCTGTGACCTTCATTGTCATTCATCCCACTTCCTGTGAGCCAGGGCTGTTATGGACATGCCCCCTGGGGTTGCATCATTACTGTGGCCTGTAATAGTCCTGGACATTGCAGTGCTCGCATGTCAATATGTGAGCATCGTGCTGTTCAGGAGTAAGCAAGTGGCAGGGGGGCTTTAGCGAGGGAGGCCAGAAGGTGGTAGGAAAAAGGGTTGTTGAGCTTTAAATTAGAAAAGAAGTCCAGGCAAAATGTTATTAAAATGTGCTGTGTAAGAAAGAGTTAACCCTAATGAGTTGCATGCCACCTTCTGTGTTCTATTAATGGACATAGGGAGAGGAGAGGAGGATAAAGGAAAGTATGGCTTCTGGGTATGAGAGCCACAGCTCTCATCGCCGCAGTGCTGGAGGCACAGCGAGAGCAATAGTTTCCCAAATCAATAAAACTGTAAATATTAAAGAAACAACAGTTCCTGAAGGTGGTATATACCTAATGAGAGTTAGCCCCCATTCACACTAGTGAAGGCCGGCGCGTACAGCTCCGTGCTGAGTGCAGGGCCGTATCGGGCCGCTCCCGGGAAGGAAAGGTGCTGTGTGTGATTAGTACGCAGCCCCTGTCCTTCTCTATGGGACTATGCGGCCGTACGCCACCCCATGCTCACCTCAAGTGCAGGTCCGTATGGGTGCAGGTGTCCCGGCTCGGACGCAGACAGGATCCATCCTGCCAGCGTACGAGTACAGACGAGTACGAGCGTAGGGCGGCGCACAGCCCCGTACCCCCATAGAGAAGGACAGGGGCTGCGTACTAATCACACTCAGCACCTGTCCTTCCCAGAAGCTGCCCGATACGGCCGTCCACGCAGCACAGAGCTGTACGTGGCGGCATTTTCTAGTGTGAATGAGGGGTTAAAGCTCATCTGAACCTAAGAACAAGCACGTAATATATTGCAACTTACCAATTCTTAGATGTGGTGGCTGCAATAGTTTTCTTTTTTCTCATCAGGTGATCCTACCAGTAATAGACACCCAGTCTTAAGACAACAATGCTCGCTCACTGTACAGTATCTATAGAGGAACACCATTGTCACCATACCACAGGAAGTGTTTGACTACAAAACAACTCCCCTTCTCCATTGCATACAGAGGATGTGTTCTGTAGTTCACACAAGATAGCTAGGAAGATTGTTAACATAGTGTGAGATATACAGTATGTCTTCAGTACACAAAGTTACAGGAACTACACTAGCAACATAAATATGGCACAAATATATCCCATGCGACCATATGCGAGTTCAAACACTTCAAATTCCCTTGCAATGACTTTGCCCTAACTGGACCAAGTGACAAGTTAATTGAATTCACTTTTTTCACAAAATATGAAAAAAATGACTTACATCAGCTTTCCCACTTCCCCTCGTCTACACTGCACCTCACCTGAGTGATGCTTCCCCACTTCCCATGCGTTTCATTGTAAGAAGCAATCTCCAAAATAGCCACAAGATGGCGCGGGGATTCAACAGCGCCCTAGGACCAGAGTATTCTAATCCTATCACGCCTTGCGTGTTGCCAATCCCAAGATGGCGGCACGTCATTGACGTGCAGGTCAAATTGAAGTGCGTGTGCCCAGGCCATGCTTTTCAGAGTCGGTCGCTGTCTGCTATGCGGGCTTCGTAGCGTTCCCAAGCGCTGTAATGCCATCACGGTCCTGGGATCCGGAGTTCACGGTAAGCGGACAGTGACTGATAGCCGGCGCCCTCCAGGCTTAGAGGAGCTGATCAGGAGTGATGTCTGGAATGGATATCTGCAGCGTCTACAGCAATGGGAAGCGAAGGCAGCGCAGACTGCAGAAGCTGGCCAGCAGGGGGCGCCACCCTGGGAATGTGGAGAGAAGCCGCGATGGAGGTCTCAGCATATCCTGCCTGTCATACAGGAGTTGAGAACTAAGGAGAATGAGCTCAATGAGCTCCAACAGCTCTTGGCAGGTGAGAGCCAGGCCTCCCCTCTTCATCTCCTTGTATTGTCACATTGGAACAGTTTACTGAGGTCTTGTCTAAGTGCGCCTAAAGCAGGGGTGAGCAACCCCCCAGCTGTGCTGTGACTACAAATACCAGCATGCCTCTGCCTCGGGGAGTTATGCCTGTAGCTGTCAGAGTCTTGCAATGCCTCATGGGATTTGTAGTTGGGCAACAGCTGAAAGGCATGGATGTAAATGTGTTGGTACTGCTTTAAACATAAAGTACACATATCATTATAAATACATGTGCCTCTGCTGTCTTCAACTGTTGTGCCATTTACAAAGCACAGCTGCAATGTCATCATTGTGCTTGGAGAATGGCTGGGGGCGGGGTCATGTCAGTGGCACAACACTGGAATTGGAGTCTTGTAGGTACCATTCCTGTGAAGTAGGAAAATGAAAGTGGGGCTTGCGTTTTCAGCAGAGCTTACAGAGAGCCCTCGAAGTAATAAATATATTACAATTTTAGGGCCACCACAAAGTCTGCGTTCCAGTGCGTTCAGCTTCTGGAGCGCAAGCCGCCTGGCTTCCAGCGTTCAGGGGTGGGAGGGGGCGTGGTGGTGCATTGAAGTCAATGGCACCGCAGCCGTGCCCCCCCCTCCCACAGTGTGATCGCCTGCACCCGGAACGCAGGCACATTAGTGTCTGCTTTTCGGTCCAGTGCGATCTACAAAAATACTGCATGCACTATTTTTGCAGAACGCACTGGACTAGAATGCAGGCACTAATGTGCCTGCGTTTTGGGTGCAGTCGATCGCACTGTGGGAAGGGGGGTGCGGTGCCATTGTCTTAAATGCACCACCACGCCCCTGAACGCAGTGAGCCGGCTGGCTTGTGTTCCAGATGCTGAATGCACTGGAGCGCGGACTTTCTGGTGTGAACCAGCCCTTAGGGTCGATTCACACCAGATGTGTTGGGGCTAAGCTGGCCATTGTTTCCAGCACAGCTCCTATGCAGGACAGAGCATATTGCATTGCCACGGATGGGCTCCATTCTCACCACCATGTTGCGATGGTAACGCTGTTGTGTGTGCTCAAAAAAAAAAAAGTATGGCATTTTCAGCTCAGCATTATGTGGCACCTCCTCCGTGCCCGTAGAGCTGAATGAACTGTCACTTGTGATATTTCAATAAAGTTCTACCAAAAAAAGGACACTGCGATGTGCCGGGGTTGGTGCATCGGCACGGTGTTGGGCTGGTGTGAATTGGCACTTATGGCCGGTTCACACCATAAATCACACCACCAACCTGGCCTGCTCCCTGCGTTCAGGGGCGGGAGGGGGCGTGGCGATGCATTGAAGTCAATGGCCATCACGCCCCCTCCTGCCCCTGAATGCAGGGAGTCGGTTGAGTTGCGTTCCAGAGGCTGACCGCTCTGGAACACATTCTTTATGGTGTGAACCGGCCCTTAAAGCGGATCTTTACACTCAATCAAATTCTACCAATGCATCCCTCTGTGTATGAGGATTAATAATAACAGACATATCAGGTGTAAAATGCTGTGTTTTTGAAATATTTATACTTGCACAGAATTCACTTTCTGCTTTGAAAGGGCAAAATGACTTCTGTTTGCCAAAGCAATGCACACTGGGATTGCCTTGTCATCAGCAGAGCATTACTGAGACATCTCATCTGTAATCTCAGGAGATCTCAGGGAAAGACATTTTCCTCCAATGAGATGATGTGCATTGTCACAGGTCCTAGTCACATGTCTAGTCACATGTGCCAGAAATCCAGGAAGTCACAGAAGAGCTAGTAATCTGCCCTCAGTAAACATGGCCACTGCCAGAAGATCGGAACTTGGAGCAGCTGATCTTTGTGTACTATGTGCATGTGCCCATAGAGAACATTAGACCTGCATTCAGATCCATTAAAAGATGCTGTACTGATATAAACGCAGCATTTTTTACTGCTGTGTGTGTATAAGGCCCTTACTCCTGTATTTAACTGGTAAGTGGAGCAGCAAGGGTTAAAATGCCCTGTGCTGCAGGAATCTGGACAGTTGGACCTAAGCACAACCCTCCTGCGATTCAACACCCTGTGACAAACTCTAGAACAGTACTCCAATTAACAAAGATCTTAGTGCCTATGCAGCACTGTTGATTGGTACACTGTTCTGGGGGGGAAAAGAGGGCCCTGTGGAGCACCAGAGGGCAGGGGACACTTTGTATGGGAGAGCAGCAGTCCAAGTGCCTAGATTGCTGCGGCACAGTATTTTAACTATTGCTGCAGCACGCGCCAGTTAAATAAAGTTTTGTAAAGTACAGTTGGAATTTAATGATGCTTTCATTGGCGTAGCACTCTGAGCTCAGTCCAGCTTGGTGACGCACTACCAGGGTTGGCTGGTCCATGACAGCCTGGGCTTAAATTGGAACTTTACCCATAGCTTTAAAGTGACGACAAACGCACATTTAGAAATGTTTAGTAATGGCAATCTGCAAACACATATTTCTAGATAATTGCAGGCTTTGTATTCTTTGCATACCTTTATTTCACTTTTCCTCCCCAGTCTTCTGACAGTGGCCATGTCAACAATGGCAGATTATTAGCTCTCCCTTTACTTCCTGGATTTCTGGCACATGTGACTAGGACATGTGACCACACACATCAGGGGAGGAAAATGCCTTTCCCGGAATTCTCATGAGATTACAGATGAGATTTCCCAGCAATGCTTTGCTGGGGTAACCTTCCCAGGATGAAATGCTTGGGCATGTTTACAAAATTTGTGCCAGGACGTGAACCAAGAAGTAGATGAACTCTATTTGGGAAAGTAAATAAACAAGTTTAATGAATGCAAGATGATTTTAAAGCGGCATGCAGAGCTGCTGTGATTTTTAGTGAAAGGGGGTAAAGGTTTACTTTAATGAAAGTGGGTTGAATGACCCTGACCCTCATTCAGCTCAGATGAGGAACTCATCTATTTTTTTTTTTTCCTTTTTAACCTCCCTGGCGTTCTGATTATTTTTGTTTTTCCTTTTTTTTTGTTTTATTTTTTTCCCCCCCCCCGTTATTTGTACTTTTAAAATTTCCGCCCCTTGCGACGGGGACGCTCGCAAGGGACGGATGCCGGCATCGGCCGGAGGACACAGCACGGCTCGAGGGACAAGGTAAGTAACGCTACGCTGTAATCCCGAGTGTGGCTCGGGGTTACCGCTTATGGTACTGAAAATTAACCCGAGCCACTCTCGGGAATACCGCTAAGGAGGTTAAAGGAGATCTATATATTTTTTGTGGTAATTTGGAGTTCTGCTTTAGGGTAACTTGAACTTTGACTTTAGTAGTTACACTCGCGTGTATGTTTGGGGAGCTCATAGGGCAGAAGCTTTGCAAGATCCGAATGTGGTGTGGTCTAATGTCTTTGTTGTGTCACTATATTACAGATGAAAATGAAGATTTAAAGGCTCTTGCACACACAGAAGTAGCATCTTGTGTAGAAGAAATCATTCATCTAAAATACCAGGTAATGTACACACAGGACTATTTCCATGCGTGCCGTGTGAGCTCCTTCAGCTGACCATTTCATAAGATATGGACACTAATCTTCCAACCCGCATAGAGCACAATGTATCATTGTGCTCTAAGCAAGCGCCTCGCAACCCCAAGTGACATAAGGTTGTCTTTGAACATAACCAATTGCAAACAACAATTTAAAAAAAACCAATCACATCACTTAAAGAAGGACTCTGGGAATGTAACAAATTTACCCTGGCAGTGGGGCTATCCCTGCACTGTTAAGTGCTTGCATTGGTCTAGGGCAGGGGTAGGCATCCTTGGCTCTCCAGCTGTGCTGACACTACAAATCCCGTCATGCTTCTGCCTCTGGGAGTGATGTCTGTGGCTTGCAATGCCTTATGGAATTTGTAGTTTTAGCACAGCTGGAGAGCCAAGGTTGCCTACCCCTGGTCTAGGGGCACAAATAAAGAAGATATACTCAACCGATCCTTGATGCTGTGGCAGTCAGCGCTTACCTCTCTCTCCCCCTCCACTCCAGCTGTGCAATGTCCCTCGGCTTCCTCGCGTCAAATGCAAGTCAGTGAACCTGCCAAAGCCTAGGGGAGTAGAGTCTGTAGGGACCGGTCTAGCAGCCTGGCATGACCAATGATCGGGGAGTATATGTCTTTTTTGAGCCCCCTCGGCGAGATGTTTTTTTTTTATATCCTTTAAGTGCAATACGTTTAACCTTTGTATTAAACAGTTACTTTTATGCTGCACTTAGATCTGTGCGCCGGGTTTTTATGTATTTTTTTTTTTTACAGTGCTGTTACATGGATGTTTTCCTATCAACTAACCAGGCTGCAGGGTCAGTGCATACATCTTCTCTGGATTACCTACCAGTGTAACTGGAGTTCCTTTAAGACTATGAATATCCAGCCCATAAACAATTGAACTAGTTGCGCAAGTTCATTACTTCTGTTTTATGTTAAACTTTCAGTGTATGTTGCTTTTTATGCCATGCTTCTGTGTGTAGTAGAAACTGAGCTACAGACTTTGGCAGTTCACTCCTCTTCATTCTTGACCATGCTCTTCAAAGGAGATGGACTCTTAATTGACAGCTCATCTCTCCACTGTCTGCGCTATGTACTCATATACTGATTACATACGGTACTATCACACTACACTAGAAGCTGCAAAGCATAAGCCTTAGGCTGGGTTCACACCTAGGCGTATCGAATATGCGCGCTTTGTGCCGCGCGTTTCTACGGTGATTCACGGTACAAAAACGCGCAACAAACGTGCATCTCCGAGGGCTACCTGGCTGTATCCCAATGGATACGCGCGGCAAATATGCCCCAAAAGAAGCTCCTGTACTTCTTTGGGCGTAGGGCGTTTTGCAGCACGTTCCTACGCGCTGTAAAACGCCCAGGTGGGAACTATGCCCATAGGCAATCATTGGTTTTCACATGTTGAGCGTTTTACAGAGCGTAGGAGCGCACTGTAAAACGCCCAGGTGTGAACCAGGCCTTATATTTGTTTCTCTTTTCTTTTCAGATAGCCTGGCTTTTAATTCCAAGAGAGGAAGTAGACGATTGCAACCTTATTCTAGAAGTGACCGCCGGTGTAGGAGGACAGGAGGCAATGCTTTTTACTGCTGAGATATTTGAAATGTATCAGCGTTATGCTGCTAATAAAAAGTGGAGCTTTGATGTACTGGAATACTTCGACAGTGATCTGGGTAAATTGTGCAATGTGCTGAAGTATTTTTTTTTTCCTGCATAGTAGATAATGAACATACCGTTCACATGTTCTTAGGTATAGGATGTGTATAGTTCTGTAACAGTTAGTCACTCTGAAAGTGACCAAAGACTATTCCCACATCTGCACTCACCAGAGATCTAGCCGATATCCGGTGAGTGCATCATAGAGCACACTTAGGATCATTGTGCAAGAAAGATCAGTTCCGTGTAAACTGAATATCGCTGTGTGATAATATTGACTACATTTTTTACTGTTCTCTAATCTCATGTGTGGGAAATTTGATCACAATGTGGAAACACACAATTGAAATCACAGATTTATTTGGACTATTATCAATGTTGTTATGGATATAACAAAAGGATTTGTTTGATTTATGTTTACACGGTCGAAGTTTTTTGTTGAAGTTTAAAATATTCAGTATTTATGTAAGAACACGCAACGTAGAAAAGTTGGACACATTTGTTAATAAATATTTTTTCATGTAAGGATAGCTGCAGCCTAGCGCAACACAGTAGCTTTTCACCGAGGTTTTGTTGCAGCTGGGAACGTTCACTCCCATAAATCCTAGCGCAGCCTTCACGGATATCCAGATGAAGGGGATAGTGACTGCACACCAGGTTCAGCATTTACCAGTATATTTATACTTCAAAAAAGGATTATACTCCTTCTCACCTAAGGGAATACACAAATCCAACTTCTTGCTGTTTCCTGCTAAATTGGCCAAAATTCGATCCATGGATGGCCCTGCTGGCAGCACCTGGCTCAACATATGTTGATTTTTCAAGTAAGTTTTGTCGAAGGAATCAGATGGAAAAAGATGGAAAATTGTTGCTCAATCAGCCAACCAAGCATGTGATGGCTGTTGGAATACAGTAGCCAGCAGTGAAAACTTCTCCCTCCAAGATCTTTAGCTTGGATGGGGCTATCAAGTGGCTGCAAGGTGTATGTTCAGCTTAACTTCTTTGGCACTGATATATCTATCTATCTATCTATCGATAGATATATACCTCATACTTTGTGGGTAACAGGAGCTTTTTCTGACTCGTGAAAATGATGTAGTTGCAGAGGTATACACTGGCTCAAGTTGGGGCAGGGCATATTTATATTTATCAAGAAAGGAAAATAGCAATTTCTTGTTACCTAATCTTGCTGAAATTGTGCTATATTTTGATTGTTTTGGGGGGTAATTTATCAAACATTGAAGTTCAGGCTATTAAAATAATATTTAATTGCCTTTTCAGTCTTCCATGTTCTTCTTTTTTCACCAAGCCTGAATGCAATGATATACTGTCCCTTCCCTTTTGCTAATCACTTTGGCCCCATTCACACTCAAGCTGAGCGTCTTTGGGTGTTTGTTCAGGCATTTTTCTCAGAGCGTTTGCATAAGTCACTTTGCTAGTGCTTCAGCCTTGAATGTTTCATATTTAGCTAATGACTACTTACTAGACCAAAAAAAAAACTTTAAAAACACTTGTTAAATTTTATTTTTGTGCCTTTTTTCAAGCACTCCTCCCATTTGAAACTGTCATTGGGGCCAAAATAAGGTTATGTACTTTTTTTTTAAGCTACAGGCATTTTGCTACAAATGACAGAATGCTCAGGTGTGAACAGGGGGCATGGAAAACAATGGGATTCCTCCTGTTGAGTGTTATAGCGCTTAGAAATTCGAGCTACGTCTTGTAGTCTTGTAGGAATTCGAGCTACGCTCAAGTGTGAATGGGGCCTTAAGTTGATTGAAGTGATAATTAGTGAGAGGATGGGAAATCTAGCTTCCTTCATTCTCTTTAAAGCCCTTGACTCCATTATACTCTCCATTAAAGCATTCCACTCCCGCCCTCCCCACCCACTCTTTCCTGTTTCTCAGTTACAGCTGCCACAGAATACCAGCTTTTGGAGCTTACAGGTAGCAATGACCTTATCCGCTCAGTCATGTGATGGTGTTCAAGTCTTGAAATTGCCTGCTAGGCCTGACCACTACACCATGGGAAGAGGTTGCATGCTTCCTTATACATGGAAACAATGTGAAGGGAATTTATCAAAACTGGAGCAGACAAAATCTGGAGCAGCTGTGCATAGCAACCAATCCGCTTCTCTCTCTTTCATTTTTGAATCTTAACGTAACAAACTAAAGAGAGAAGCTGATTGGTTGCTATGCGCAGCTGCTCCAGATTTTGTCTGCTCCAGTTTCGATACTTCCCCCTTTTGTATTTTGCGAGGGTTACAGTAGAATTTCTAATGCTACTTTTTGGTATGTTTTAGGTGGAGTACGACATGCTTCAGCAAGCGTAGGAGGTTTGGATGCCTATAAACATTTAAAATATGAAGGAGGAGTGCACAGAGTGCAGCGAGTGCCAAAGACTGAGAAACAAGGAAGAATGCACACAAGTACTATGACTGTAGCTGTATTGCCTCAACCAAGTGAGGTAAGCTAAAAATCTAAATCAAATATTTATAACTAAAAAAAAAAAAGCTGCAAATGTTATATATACCTCCCTACCATCTTGTCTTGATTTGTATTGTAACTGTAATGTCTTCCTTATATCATAATGCGCTCCGCAAATTGTTGGTGCTATATAAATCCTGTATTATAATAATATTGAAATGTAGCAAAATGTTGGAATGTTTTAGATGTTAATAGGCAAATCATTCTGATTATTCAAAAATGATGGAGTTACTACATGCTCCAAAACATTACTACAAATTATTTAGAGCATGTTCGTCAAAAGCCCTAGATGCGAACAGTGCTGAATGTAACTGGGTAACAGAAAACCAATCCAGCTATATTGAGCCTTTAAAGACCCATTCACCAATATACATTGCGGTAACACGTGTTACCATAATGAACCATACACACATTTTCAATGGCATCCTAATACATTGAGGGAATGCACCTGCATTAGATTGTGGTAGGCAGCATTACAAAAAACGGTGCATGATTTTCTATCCATCATGGTTTACTGGCAGATTACTTATAATAGAATTAAAGAACTATGGGGTCAGTGTTTTTCCCCATAGTTCTCCTTAGGGTGACGGGAGGACACAAACTAGCGTCCTCCCGTTACCCTAGGCTCAGTATACTGAGATGCCGGAGCGGATCCCGACGTAGATGACGGGATCCGCCCAGCTGCGTGAGTGACAGCTGGCTCTGCCTATCTAGAGGCAGAGCCAGCTGTACCCGCCCCCTCCCCCGTCCGTTCTGCCAGTCAGCGCTGGCAGATCGGAGCGGGGAGAGGGGAATCCAGCCCTCCCCCTGTCACGGCAGAGAGCCGTGACAGGATCGAGAGGTGAGCGAACCTGGTATGTGTTCGCTCACCTCCCGATCTACTGAGCCGACTCATTGTCACAGGTCGGCTAGAACTATGAGGTGAGTGGAAATCACTCATCTCATAGTTCTCCTTTTAAACTCCTTTTTTTTTGCATTTTGCATTTATCTGCTGCTAGCAAGTGGTAGATATATGCAAGAACATTTAATAAAATAAAAAAGCTACCAAATAGGTAAAAACACACCTCTGTCTCCTCCGCTCACTCCCGTCCAAAGATCTGAAGCTCCTCGAGTAGCCGTGCAGGAGGATGAGAGCAGGCGCATGCGCAGTAGAGATTAGCGGGGAGAGAGGTGAATGCATGCAGCCGTGATCGTGCACGTCGGAAAGACAATGTGTGACGCAAGGAGTCTGTGCTGGATCAGAGACCGGCACCAGCGCTGAAGGGATTGCTGAATACAAGTGGAAGGAAGACGATTATCGGATCAAGAGGCATCATTTAAGGTAAGTTAGCAGCAATGGGGGGGTTGTGATTTTTAATGTTATTTTAAATGAATGGGCTGCCTTTAAATAAAATATCTGTAGAAGACATCACCCTTTCATTTACAAGCCATAGGCATTTTTATGCTAATCGTTGAGCATGTTGCAGCTTTCTATGACTTCTGGTGAACAAGTGGTTATACAAACCAAGGCTGGTTGACAGTGGAGTGGGTGCATTTTGATTTTGTTACTGTTTCCCTAATTTTTGATATCGCATTCTGTTATGTTTTTCTTGCCCACGGGGAGATTTCTGCTCACTTTTGTCCCAGTCACAGCGTTGTTACAAGGGTGGGAAATGTCTAGTATAGTGACATAAGAGCAGTAAAAACACATTTACCAAGTTGACACCTAGGACAGAACATGAGTGAGTGGTTTCTCCCACACTAAACTGGCCACAATGCTCACCAAATATAAAACATGCAGAACCAGACGCACTGTTTCAACACCATCAAAACCATTACAGATGGGTTTTACTGGGGCCTTGATTCTATTGGCTGGGGCCTCCAGTGGCAACCGGAGGAGGCTAGAGTTGGGGTGAGGGGGGTGAATAACCTTTTCAATCATTTTTATAGCTTTCATCCGTTCTGCTTTCTTTCTTCAAATTTCTGTCATTTTACTGGTAGACACAGCAGCCAAATTATCCAGGCATCTACAGTAGGTTGGAGGCATGTTATTGGTTTTACTCCTTCCTCACTATGGTATGGTGTCTTCTGTTACTTTTGTCTTCTCTATATCTGCAGATAAATTTAACAATTCATCCCAAAGATTTGCGCATAGAAACGAAAAAGGCCAGTGGAGCTGGGGGACAACATGTGAATACCACAGACAGTGCAGTACGAATTGTTCACATTCCAACAGGTGGGTAACAAAAAACAAACGAAAAAAACTATTAAAGCAAAATCTTTTCCTCTTGTGGGCCAATATACAGCTGACTGACCAAAAAAATCTTTGTTTCATAATTTGCCTATGTTTAAAAGAAGTCTTGTAAATGTATGCAGCCTTAATTCTCTGGAAGTTTACTTGCAAAGATGCTAGTGTTGAGTCTTTTTTTTTTTTAAACTTCTAGATGTTTAACCTTTTTTAGATCACTATTAGTTAGGTAAAGAGACAGTACATCAGACCCTGCCTGCTTTGTAGACCTCTTAGTCTGATTGATTGGAAATTGGCTCCAAAGAAGGCAAATTTAGTATATATTTAAAGAAAACAAAATCTGTCATGCCATAATAAAATACATACAAAACAAATTTGCATTCATATGTGCAACATTCCTACAAATATTGGGTATTTTTGTGG